CAGCCAACCCAGCTTCTCCGGAGAATACAACTGGGACCCACCCACCGCATTCTCATTGTTCGTTATCTCCCACGTGTCCGTGCTCCAGTCCTCCACGTTCGGCTGCCCGGTCGGGAGCTCGTGAAGCCACCGGTGGAGGTCTCCGTTGGACATGTACTCGTACAACACTAATTTCTCTTTACCTAAAATCAAACCCAAAAATAAAAAATAAAAAAATGTCGATGAAAAATCAGATGGGGGTGTGAATTAAACGGCGCCGTTTGTTTGAATTTTGGGAAAATGTTGATGAAACAGAGCGAATTAATTGAAATGGCAGAAAAGGGCAATAGAGACAAACAAAGATACGGTTTTTGAAATTTACCTGCAATACAGTAACCGGAGAGCGGTAACAAATTGGAATGCTTCAATGCGGAGAGGTCCTCCAACATGGCTACAGCCTCGTCGCGACCAACGGATCTAGCGGATTCAAGGACTTTGATTGCCACGTGGATGTCCCCGGGAAGGACGGCTCGGTACACGGGCCCACACCTGCCCTCTCCCAGCACGGACTCCTTCCCGAAATGCGACGTGGCAGCAATCAGGTCCTTGAAGCTCAAATTAATCAACGGCTTCTCGAACATCACCACTGGGGCGGAGGATGGCTCCTTGATATCAGCGATCCAGGAGGATCCTGACTCCGTCTCGAACGCGAACGGCCCAGATTTCTCCATCTTGAACGCCACCTGGACTGGTTGGGAGATTGCCCATTTGTTTTTCTTCATCATTCTCTTTCGTCTCCTCCACACCCAAACCACTGAAACAGCCGATGCAAAAAACAAAACTGCTGCCCCAGTGGACAGGGCAACTATCAGAGCCTTCGTTTTCGATGCTGATTTGGGTTTGGCCTTTTTCGCCGGTTCCTTCATGGGTTTCTGCGATTTCGTGTGAGGGTGTTCGGATTTTTGATGATTTGGAAAAAAGCTTCTGCTTCTGGGGTTTGTTTCAGCTAATAAAGTAATCCCAGTTCCCACGAATGCCGATTTCCCAAATCTCTTGTAGTTTTCGGGACTAATCACTCCCTTAACCTTGTTTATTGAAACATTCAAGAACTTCAGTCCATCAAGCGGAGGGAAATCCGACGGAAAATTACCAGTCAGGGAATTACCCGACACGTCCAAGTACTCGAGCGAACGAAGAACAGAGATGGGCTTTAGGCTCCCGGAAATATTACATCTCGAAACCACCAAATGGTTCAAATTAAAAAGTTTCTCCAACCCAGATGGAAGATTCCGCAGATTGTTCCGCGAGAGGTCCAGAGATTTCAGCTGCGAAAACCCAGAGAGGCGAACGGAATTAGAGAACCTGTTCTGGGAAAGATTCAGCACCCGAATCGAAGAGGACAAAATTTTACTGGAGTTGGGTTTAAAACCAATACTTCCTCCGAAACGATTGCCGGAAAGATCGACATGAACCAGACTGGGGATTGCCCACACCCAATTGGGGACAGAACCTTCAAGCGAGTTTCTGGACAGATCGATGGAGCGTAAGTTCGTCAAGTTTCTCAGAAACCTCCAGGAAACAATTCCGGTGAGATTCTTGGAAGGAAGCGTAATTTCTTGAATATTGCAGTGGTTGGAATTCAGCTGAGAGGCAAAAATGGAAGACAGATTAAAGCCGGAGACAGAGTTGAAAGCCCTGGAAACGAATTGTCTGTCTGCACCGTTGCAGGCAGAGTCCACTGAAGCCAGCAGCGCCATGAGAATCAGAATCCTGCAAAAACAAAAAGTTACCATTTTTCTTTCTTCCTTCCCGGAGGAGGCGCAACAGTATATAAGAAAATTAGATAAAGAAGTGGAGAGCTCCATTTTATGGAAGGAAGTGAAGTGGTAGTGGGAGTGGGAGGGAAGTAGCAGAGGAGTCAATAAAATACAATAAATATTGTCTATATATAAAAGGCTCAATGGCGAAGGCCACCAATTTGTAATATAAAAACTATATAGTATAAATTATAATATAATAGTAGAGTATTCTGATGATTATTGTGTGACCAGTTCCCTTCATTAATAACCCTTAGAGAAGTCACATCACATGTAAATTGTAAACTGGTTTCTATATGGTATTTATTAAATACTAGAGAAGTCCTATATTAATTAACTTTTTATGTTAATTAATTAGATGGAGGGAATGGAAAATAAAATAAAATAGAAATAGAAATGGTTGGTAATGATGGGCATAGCAGTCAACGAGGGAAGTCTGACTTCATGGTGAGTGTCACAGGCAGCGGCACAGAGCACGGGACAGAGATGTCATGATTTTACTTCGAAATTTTCCACTTCAATATTTATTTTTATTTGTGTTGCATAATTTTTTCTCCCTAATAAATCCAAAAAGAAGTTTTCAAAATATCAAGACCGAGAAACGTGTTACCTGTTGCTGTTGCCCAGAATTTTGAAACTTGTTAAATTTTTTTTGTTAATTTAAATTTAAGAATGTAGTTAATAATAAGTCGTGGTGATTTCATTTAGTTGTGGGGTCCAAAAAAATGGAAAATAAGAATTTTTATCATAAATAAAGGAAGAAAGAATAATGAGTAAAGTGAGAGGTTAGCTGGTGACCGTGAGGGCTAAAAGGCCTCCGCGTGTTCTCCATCATTTTCATTATTAATTTTCTTCACACTATTTTTCAATTAAATTAATTCTGACTATTGGCAATAGATTGTGATTGTCTTCCATTCATATTGTTAGTTTCTACATCTTGCAATTTAGGTCAATTTATGAGTTTACTTTTAGCAAATGAAATAAAATATTAAAAAAAAAAAACATTTTGATGTTTTCTCATGCTTTTGAACATCGTATTCCTCCTGTTTTGGTTTCTTTTTTTTTCTTTTTCTTTTTTCCACCCACTTTCGCAATCGGTCTTAGAATTTGATTCGTATGAGTTGACCAATTAAACAACACATCTCCAATATTATTTCTAAAACTTGAATATTTGAATTAAATAATTTTTATTTATTCTAAAGTTAGGAGACAAGGTTTTTATACACTATTGTTTGCCTTGCACTACATTCCTTTGCAAAACTTTTGCAATTAAGGTATAAATATCGTAACCACCAATTTTAAAATTTGAATTGATGAATCAATTTGTAAGATGATTGGTTCAATTTTAAAATTTAACTGAAATAAGAAATAAATGAAAGAGATACCTAACAGACAACAACACGTGTGATTGTGGCTAACAGACCTAGTGAATACTAGCAGGCAATCAAGTAAGTGATCCAGGGTAAGAGATAAGATTGCTTGCTCGCCAATCAGCCAAAATAGCAATCTTCTACTTTTGCAACCAGTATATCAATTTAASCCAATCGACCAACATTATTTTAATAAGTTGTTTAGATTTAGTTATTCTCGCTGATCAAAAATTTGAATAATTTGATATTACATGACAAATCCATAATTAGAAAATATATAATAGTAACAAGATCATCCAAAAACAAACACAATTAGTGTAATCTAATCTGATATTGAACAACTTCGTTAGATGGCTGACATGGACTACCTAAACCTAATGTTGTATCCAATGGGCAACCAAAACTGTTCGTTTTGGTGACCCACTGACCAATTCCAATGGATTTGGAAGTTGGCAAAACAACCTATTCTTGTAATCAGATACCAAAAACCAAAAAGTGGTCAATTTCACCTGCTCTCCCACGTCACATCTTTGGCTTCTTTATTTGCCATTTTCTTTAATTGAATTAGAATCACTCTCTCCCACATACTTCCAAACCAAAATTCCAACTCAATTACAACCCAACCCCCTTCATTTTCTTTCTCATTGAGAACAAATAAAGTTTGCATTTTTATCAATTTAACATCTTTATGTGTGCAATTCTATAACTTTTGCTTTTGTCTCCACAGCAGCGGAATTTTTCCTCCTTGGTGGCATCCTAATTTTGTAATATTTACAAACCATCAAATTGCTATAAAAGGATTGAGTTTCGCAAATCCATTCGTGTATGAAACCTTGGATTCGTGTCACTTTCAAATTTCAATGATGTTATTTTCGAGCTTTTCTCAATGTCGCTACAAAAGTTGTTTTGATAAACAACAAAGTTTTTGTATTTGTATGAATTCAAAATCAAAGAATCGATTTCATGTCCTCACACAAGAGGGCAGTACACAAAATAAATGGGCCGGAACTATTTAGGCTTTACGGAAGCCCAACAAGTTACTTAACAGAAACAGAATCAGGCCCAACAAGAGCTCGCTGCAAGGTTAGGCCCATTTTGCCCGACTCTTACCCCGTCTCATGTGATACGTTAAGAGAAATTAATAGGAATTTGTAAAAATAACAATTACTTTTTAATTTTTGTAAAAATAGCAAAATCTGGAAGTCGAACTGTCATTATTAAATCAATCTATTTTATCTTACCTTTAGCTTTTAAAAAATGAGGAAAAACTATAAATCTTTGTCAATCAAATAGAGCTAGAACTTGGACATCCCGTCCCCTCACATGTGAACCTTGAATGACAATGTAGCTTTGTCGAAATAGTGCCAAATGGGGATCTCGATTGGGATTTTGAGGAACGCAAGTTGGAGAAAGAGCATAAAGATTTTGGAGAGACTGAATCATTCTTGAAATATGATTTGTCTACCCGATTAAGAGAGAATCATATTTATTAGAAGTAATATCTTTATTGTGTAACGAAAACAAAGACCTCATAGAAATTATGTGGGTGGTGAATGAAATCTTGTATTTATTAGAACATTTTGTATTTTGTCAAGGTGATAGAGCCACAAATGTGTGTGCTCATTCCATTGCAAAGAAATCTTGTGATTTACAAGAGAATACTATTTGAAATGTAACTATTCTTGATTGGCTCATTACTTTGGTCAAGCAGGATTGTTCGGTTGCTTAATGAAATTCCTTTTATTTTCAAACAAACAAAAAAAATCATTAGAGCTAGAACAAAAACAATCCAAATTTCGTCTTTATTTCTAGAGAATAAAAATTGCAAAGTTGAAATTCTGTGGTTGCGGCCAAGCCAGGTACTAGTTTGGAGGGAGCATCAGTGGCAAATATTTTTTGTTGATTCGTTTTTCCACCACATCAAATGCCCATGGCCGACACACTTCTCTCTTCACAACAACAAAACTTTGAATGATTAAGAATCTTAACCAAGCACAAAGGATGCCTGCACAGTTGTTAATCCTATCTTTTTTCTTATTATCTTTGAGTTTTAGATCACAAAAGATGTCTGTACAGTTAATCCTATTTTTTTTTTCTTATTATCTTTGAGTTTTTAGATCAGTTTAGGACATGGGTCATTTGTAAGCAGACATATTAATCACAAACCAACTAAAAAGTAATCGCCTTTTCACTGTTTCACACCTGGAATTCCATTCCACGAACACCAACAAATGGGTGTTCAATTTTTTTTGTCCCTTTTTTTCTTTAATCACAATCTCCATCTCTGAGTTAGATTCCAAGAGAACCAAGAAGTTGAACAAGAGAATGAAGAGATTAATGAGATCAGAATGATTATACAATCAATATGGGGAATAGAGAAAAAGCAATGGTAAGAATAGGAACAAGTAAGAAAAAACAGCCTTCTTTTTTCTAATATTAATTTCTAACGAGAGAACTGAGAAGAAACAGCCTAAACAATTTGTGGTTGTGGTTGCTGTTGCTGCTGCTGCTCATTTCCTTCCCAAGTCCACACAATATCCTTGAGGCAAGGCCTTATGTCTTTGTTGTAAAATTGCCTGTATTCCAAAGTGTCCCCAGCAGTTTTCTTCACCTCCACCACAAAAAAAGAAGGTGTCACTTCAAATATCTCAGCATCTATAGCCAGCTCCCCTTTCCTCCCCTGTTTACTCCCCTGCAGTTTCACTATCCCATCCTTCTTCAACACCTTGAACCTCTCCATCTCCGCTATTTCCTCGAACTTCGACACGATCGCCGATGCTGGTTTCGCGGTCGTGAATCTCGACTGCAGCCTCTGATCCACGTCGCTCTCGAACAGACCCGACAGGTCGAACCCCGGCGACAGAGATATGATGTCAAAGGCATTGAAACTAGAGTTTCTGGTCGGTGGCTTTCCGCTCTCATTGTTATTGCCATTAATCGACCCTTCCTCGGAACTAATGTCGTCGAAAGCGGCGTGGACGTCGCTTACCGATGACGACACATCTCCATTGATTCGAAGTGGTTTGGGAGTTGCTACATTGGCTTTGAAGCCCTTCTTGAACCAAGAATTGTCCATGAGTTTGGCCATGTTTATTCTGGTGTGGGGACTTGGGTCGAGGATTCTTGAGAGAAGCTTGCGCACTTCGGGAGGAAACCATTGAGGGCATTTGAATTCTCCTCTGGAAATTCTCCTGTACATTTCCATCAGATTTGGGTCGTGGAATGGGAGGAAACCCGCCAGCAGAACAAACAGGACAACCCCAGAAGACCAAATATCAGCTTTGGCACCATCATAACCTGTGAAACAAAGTAATTGCCAAATGCCAAAGAAGATGAATTAATTACAATCCTATATGCAAGGTTATGTAACCAAATACAGAATCAGCATAAGAAGAGGAAAAATGAGACCTTTCTTGTTGATGACTTCAGGGGCGACATAGGCAGGGGTTCCACAGGTGGTATGGAGAAGGCCATCCTGCCGCCGAGACTCGGCCAACGCACTCAATCCGAAATCCGAAATCTTGAGATTCCCAAATTCGTCAAGAAGGAGATTCTCAGGCTTGAGATCTCTGTGGTAGACTCCGCGGCTATGGCAGTAATCAACAGCGCCAATGAGCTGCTGGAAGTACTTACGAGCGGCGTCTTCCTTGAGCCTCCCCTTAGCCACTTTGTTGAAGAGTTCCCCACCCTTGACATACTCCATGACGAAGTAGATCTTGGTCCTGCTGGCCATCACCTCGTAGAGCTGCACCACATTGGGGTGGCGCACGAGGCGCATCACAGAGATCTCCCTCTTGATTTGGTCGATGAGCCCCACACGCAGAACCTTCTCCTTGTCAATGATTTTGATGGCCACGCTCTGGCCCGTGTGGAGGTTCCGGGCATGGTACACTTTGGCAAAGGTCCCCTGCCCAAGCAACCTCCCGAGCTCGTACCTCTGCATCAGAATGGCACCCTTTTTCTCCATGTTTGAGGACAGAGGAAGAAGTATTGATGGGTTGGATGGAGTCAGAGAGAGAGGAGCATATTTGAAGTTGAAGAATGAAGAATGAAGAATGAAGTTCAACCGTGCCTAAAGAGGCAGGGTTGATGAGGGAGAGAGACCCGTGGTGAGAGGTGAGAAAAAGGGAAGAATTTTACAAAAATTTTGGTAGAAGGGGAGAGTGGATTTTGGGTTTTGGATTGTTCTTGTGGCTGAGAATTGGGAGAGCCTAACAGAACAGAACAACAGGAAGGTGACCCAGTAAATTTAGGATTGCCTAAAAGTAGCTCTCAAATTGGAGGGAGGATAGCTTCTGGATATGATTTAGAGTTAGATGGTTTATATGGGAAACCAAAACATGAAATCAAAATGTTAAATTTGACACTGCAAATGGTGACAAGTGGCGGTGCCTAAAGGGGCATACAAATTACAAATGGATCTATTCAAACCACAGATCAAGTGGTTCAAACTCTATAGAGATTGAGCGTCCATCTTTGTGTTCACGATGAATACAAAAAGAAAATATTTAGATCGTGATGGGTGAGAAAATATTTAGATCGTGATGGATGAGGATCTATCTTGTCTTAACTACCCTTAAATATTATAATAAAGAAAAAGAGTTGTAATACAATTCTTATAGGTTTAATATAAAAGTCATTGATTTTACATGTCGCAACACTTATGGTAGAGAGGACATTTTGTGCTATAAATATTGTGAAGACTCGATTGCGTAATCAAATATGTATTGTGCCCCACCAAAGCGAGTATAACTCAGCGGTAATTGACATATACCTCTAACCATAATGTTGTGAGTTCGGATCCCCTCCCCAACATGCATGTTGTACTAAAAAAACAAAAAAAATATATTATGCCCCAGGAATGAAAATTCTATATTAGCCATTGTTGGAGATCATTGAGAAGTGGTGTTATGTTGTGAATTGTGATAACATTTGTACCTATCCTTCAACATATAATAACTCATAACCCTAATCATTAATACTTGCGAATAGAAATGAGGTCTTAAAAGATGACTTTAAAGTTTGGCCAAAACTAACCAAAATGGATGTACATTTTGTTGGTATAGATAGTGACTATCCATTCTTTTAAATATTTCTTAATCATGCTTACATGATCTCAAGATCCTCTAATTAAGATGTAGTATCGGTTCATTCATGTACCCTTCTCTCAAGCATCACAAGAATAGAGTAAAGAAGGAAAATATATGCTACATAGACTTAAATAATTATTAAATTAAAATACTTTACAAAATCAACCATTTAAGATGAGCAATTAACTATTACATTGCCAACATGAACGGCACTCATTTAGCTTGAATTCTAGATAAAAGTGGACACTAACTTAAATTTGAGGAATAAAAAACTATATTTTACTCAATAAGTTATAGAATAAATAAGCAAAATAAAGATAAAATACTTATGAAAGGGAGGGTAAATTACTAATTTAATTGGTGTGACTATTTAACTTTGAATCTAAATATAGGACGGGGTTCAAAAACTTCTTTTGAGTTTGAGAATATATGAAGTAAATTTATAGTATAAGTTAAGAAACTACAAGAAGAAAAATGAAAAAGATAATGTAAAAATTCATAAAATATTATTTTGTTTGTGATCATTTTGTCAGCTAAACAAGTAAAGTAATCTGGAGAGAGAAACAAAAACGCAATAGAAGCTATTTTTTTTCCTTAAAAACCCCTACCTCAATGAATGACAATCAAGACAACAACTGTCGTCATGTCAAATGGGTCGTCTCTGGAGAGATGACCAAGTGGACCATGAAAAAAAATCAATCTAATATGTCGCCTCTTCTTTAAGAGACGGCATGCTATGTATTAAATAAAAGAGAATAAATTAAACTTGATCATCTCTAGAGAAGACTAATTTCAATTAAAGAAAAAGAAAATTAACAAAATATCACGTTTGTCGACCATGTCTTGAAGAGACGAAATAGTTTGGAGGTCATGGAATAAGATTTAAATGAGTATTATTAAAAAAAATCCCGAGGTAACGTGATGTAAACATTTGTAACGTGGCATCCGTTACTTTGGCAATCGAAGAGGTGGAAATTTTATGGAAACTCGAACTTACTCCTGAACTTAAATTTTGCATTATCTCTACTTTTCGTCCATTGGAAGCCTTATAGACCAGTTTGTTTAATGTTTACTATTTTCAAAAATTCGTCTCCCACATTTTTTCATCGCGACAGAATAAACAATATTTTTACCATAATTCTCAAATTTAATGTCATTTCAATAATATAATTTAAACTTACCTCTTATGTTGTGCCACGTGGCACGTTTACCTCTTCAAGGTTGAAGAACCGTTTTAAAAAATTAAAAAAGAAAAAAGCCGTTAAAGTATTATATTATAATTGGAGATATATTTAATTTTTGAAAAAACAAACAAAAAGACAGTTTAAAGAAATTTGTTGCATTGATTGTATACCAAAACAAACTGAAATCACGTGCATTGAACGTGCGAAATGACTAGTTGATATGCAAGAAACAGCGCCGCACATGCATGTCTTTTTCTAGCAATATGTCAAACATGATACGTGTCCAAACAGTGTAGAAGCTCTCCCCTTCAATTCATCCACATATTTTAAAATAAAATAACTTAAATTATGAATTTAGAAAATTTTTAAATTTAATTTCATCTCTACGATTTAAAATTAGTTTCAATTTTTTCATACGTCTGTTTCATTATAAGACATCAACACGCACAATCTATCCTTGAATTTCATGTAGTTTGAAGGTTTGTTCGGTAATATTTATATTTCTTATTTTTCTCTTTTTTAGTGAAAAAATTGAATTGTTTGGTCGCAGCACCCATGACTTCAAAAATGGTAAAACAATATATTCACTTGTGTTTTATGACAGATTGGAAATCTTAATAAAAAAATAAGAAACTTATTTTTTTTTATTTTCAAAATTTAAGAAAAATGAGAAATAAAAAACACAAATAATTAAAAAAAAATAAATTATTTAATAAAATTAAAAATAAGAAACGAAGTCAACTCTAAATTACTAGATTAACTGATTGTTTTAAATTTTAGTATTAAGTAAAAGGTAGAAGAAAGCTGTGAGTATTTWGACCAAATTTATAATTTAATCAACAAAATACAAAATTACAATTTGTACAAGCTGACTGATGGGCAGTAGGCACAGGCAGATTCCCCAAGTCGGCCGTACACGGTCGAATTCGCAACTTATTATGTAAATATTATTATTTAAAAATACACCATTATCTACCATTGAATTGTTATTAATTTATCGATAAGCTTTTATCTCAAAAAATCGTCAATTTCATTTTCAACCAACATCTTCAAATAAAGATATTTAAAAAGATTTAAAGTCATTTAACTTACAAAATAACTAATTTAATTTTCTCTTTTAATATCAATGAATCATAAAATATTTAATTGTAGTAAGGATAAAATATTTAATAATTAAGTTTTATCCGAAAATAAATAAGGGAAGAAAAGGGCAGATTCCAAACTCCAAATACCGAGGAAAGGAAACAAGGGCGTTGCCGTCTTACTCCTTTTCTTTGTTTTTTAAATATGATCGGAAAGAAAAAGATGGCCAGTGGGGGGGATCAATTAATTGGAACTGCTTCGTTTGTCGTAAAATAATATTAAAATGAGAGACAGCAGTTTGAGAGTGAGAGTATAAATAAATGGAAGTTAAGGAGGCAAATTAACAAACAGGTAGCGGCGATGGCCATGGATTGCAGCAGCAGCAGCAGCAGGAGGGAGGTAAAGGATAATAATGATGATGAGGCGATCACGAATCACGAGGAGCGTTCCCGCTGCTGCTTCCAGGAGTGGATGCGAATCCAGCGCCAAGACCTGTCCCACCTCCTCCACTCCCTTCAGACGTTCTACAAAACCGACAACGACGACCAAATCAAGCCGCTCCTCCGCGACTGCATCTCCCACTTCAACGACTACATCTCC